GAAATTGAAAGAGTATTTAAATAAAAATACCCTTTACAAAAACTAGAGTAAGTATTCTCAGGAAGGAGAGCTAGAAGACATGACAGGATTGCAAATATCTATGTATACTAATATTTCTTTTAACATGTGGTAAATACCTTAAGCTCTTTAGCTAAACTTCCAATAGTCGAAGAAAGGGGTTTTTACATTTATGAATGGAAAGTGTTGCAATAGTTAAGGGAACAGCAGCAGAATCAGCAGACACCTCTCAGAATTTAGGATTTAGCCCTCTCTCAATCTTCTACAGACAAGCCAAACTTACAGTGAGGACTGCACTCATAATTCATAATAGAGTCATAATAAAAACATAGAAACAACTGAATAACTGATCTGTAAATGACTATCATCTTTGACTGTGACTTGTCTAAGGCTCCGTCCAAACATGGAAGTTTATAAAATATCCTTCAGCACTGTAATAGTACTTCCAGTTCGGGGCTCCATGCCAGGCACTCTTGTGTGTTATTAATTATTGATAACATGCTTGCCTTCTGTTTTCATTTCCTGACATTAATGGATAGCACTTGTAGTACAATTATAAGCACAGCTACTCATTTCAACTGACTCAACATATACTCCAACAAAACGACTGGCATCAGAAAAGATCTGCTTCTGAAAATGCTTGAAAGAAAACAGGGCACACAACTTTTGTGAAGTTTGACTGACCACGCTCTTAAAGTAGTACAACGTGCTCCAGAGGCTCTGTTGAAGGGTAGCACAGCTCTCCCTAGCAAAGGGATCTGACCTTGCAAGCAATGGACGAGCACCCTTGTTACTGGCATATCAGCCCAGTGTGACCAGCCCTTACTGACTGCTCCTGCTACCAAATCCTTTTTCACTGCTGTGCACCAGAGCTTCAGAATTTCAAAAGCCCCAGAATCCAAGAAGCACCAGTTGGCATAAAAATGGGGAGAACATGATGAGTCCTAGATCTAGTATATGGCCTTCTAGATATGCCAAGAGAGGCAGTAGACACCCCATCCCTGGAAACATTCAAGGTCAGGTTGGATGAGGCTCTGAGCAACATGATCTAGTTGATGTCCCTGCTCATTGCAGTGGGGTTGGACTAGATGATCTTAAAAGGTCCTTTTCAACCCAAAGATTCTATGATTCTATGATATCAGATGGAAAATAGATCTAGGATAAATGGGCCTGGAGATTTCCAGAGGGCCCATCCTAGGTGTGTAGAACAGGTGTGGGAAAAGACCATTTGTTGTTACTTTGAAAAGAATCAGAACTTTTAGGAAAGTGTTTGCACTCTGCAAACCAGAGAGATAAGGTTTATTACTGAAAATCAAACCCATTATTCCAAAAGAAGAAACTTGTTTCCACTCATTTGCATCTTCCGCTTTAGAACATACTGATAATGGCACAGTGTCATTTTTAGACATGAGGCATCTTGTACTATGACGCTATCCTAAAGAAAACATTATTTGTCATACATACAGATTTAGCTTAATCTTAGCCTAAGTGCTCTTTAGCCATTGGTCCAGACAGAAGAAAACTGAACCAGTAAGACAGTTGGGATAGTGCTAATAAAGTTTCCTCAAAATCATCTAGCAATAATGAACAAATTAATTAACTCCACTGCAAATTTCAGGGTGTAGTGGCTGTTGACCAGTCTAGCTGAAGTAAAGTCAATCTACAATTTACACAAAACTTTTGCTTGAAATTAAAGGATACTTCACTGTTGAAGATCATGACTTGTCCATTTACCTTACAGCTTCACACTGCTGCTACATCTGTCCTGCAGATAGGACAAATTCTACAAAAGAACATGACCTGAGTAGCTGCTTTCATGACTACACTGGAAGGCAGGTAAGCTGCTCTCTGTTAGGACATCTGTCCTTTAAATGTAACACAGAATTAACCGTATCATTTGCCCATTACTAGCTGCTCTCCAGACACAGTTCTGTATTACACGTTGAGCTATTCCATGTGCTAATATGCAGTCATAACGGGCTTGGAAAATAGTGGTTGAAAACACTGATTCAAGTACTCACAAGGTAGCCCAATCACATGCATCCCTCTGCAGGTTCTCAGGGGAGAACTCTTAGAATATTTCAGTCAGCTTTCTCATAGAAAACTTTTGCACTATTAAAACTATGCCTAAATCTCACCAAAATACAACTTTCCCCAACTTATCTTCTATTTATCCCTGAACTGCCACGACTTGTCATGTGCATTTCACTAATTCCTTGCAACTCTTTCTCATCCTGATCTAGAAGAAAATAGCACCTGTTTTCTATGTTTTGGCCTGAAAGTTCACAGAATGGAAACCACTGAAGAGCACACTGAATCAAAAAAAATATAAAAAGTAATACTTAGTATTTAAATGTGAAGATGCTAAATTTGTATAAAATTTTTTATTAGAATAGGCTTTTAAAGCCAGTATTGTGGACCAGTGTGGGGCTTAGATTCTGATCACCAAACTTCAAGTGCCTCAGAGGAGGCAATGTCTCAGCAAACACCATCAGCAAGAGGCTACGAATGTCCAACTGAAATCAAAATATACACACTTAATTAATCCCATTCAGCAAGTACTTCCTTCCTTCTGAAGCTCTTAAGACAGTTTAGGTCTCAGCAAGAATGCTAATTTTCTTTGACTCAACTCCGAACTTTGTAATACGATACAAGTCGTCAGATGAAGTGGTTAGGACTGTTATAGTTGTATCTCTTTAAAAAGATCAGTGGTTTAATGAAAAAAAAAACCAATGTGATTTTGCATCCAGTGTCATCACAGGAATACAGGAAAATTAATGTAGTATGTCTCTAAGCTAGAAATGTATCATGAAACAACTAAACTAATGAATTCATTGTAAGTGGCAAATACTTATGCACAAAATTACATATGATATGAAATTGGACTACCAACTGCTATAATGCAAAACAAGTACTCCTTTATATGATTGATGTGGTACATAAAATATCCTGTGGATCTATAGTCCTAATTTAGTTCAGTGAAACATGGTCACATGAGAATTGCTTTGTTTCACCAAATCATTAACACTTGTTCAGAGATCTGCTAAGTCACTCTGAGAGTAACAAACTACGACCTCATCCCGCTTGGCATACTACAGAATTACTAATGTTGATAGGGGATGGGGAAAGAACCAACTCCAACGCTGTATTCTCCAATTCTGTATTTTTCTGCAAGAAAAATGGTAAGGAGCTTATTGGTGCTCAATCTCTCAAGTGAAAACTTAGACATGAAGGTAGTAAAAGCTACTTTAAGAGTTTTAGTAACACACCAGTGACAGCAGAAAACCTATCCTTGAACAATGTAGATAGGAAGAACAGATCTAGACTAATAAATCTGAAAACACAAACTGGATCAGAACACTGTGGTCCCAGACGCTCCACTCACCACAGGAAAGACCTCCATCCCAGAGTTGTAGGGTTCCTCTGATGTGCTCTCAAATAATTTGCTAAAAAGACCCAAAACGAAGTACAATTTAAGTTCAAACAAGAAAAAGGTTTTTTTTGTTGCCAACAATATTAAGGCTGTCAAAGGCCCAACACATCTGTTATTCAGCAGTTGCAGAAACAGGTGCAGGTCTGCATATTTGGAGCTTCCCTCAGATGTCCCAAGTAGGCATTCACATTATCATTACCAGAGCTGAACTTATGAAGTGCTATGCAATACTCAAGCCCTTTTGTTACAGCAAGAGAGCTATCAAAGCAAAAATGTATTTTCTATATTTTGAAAGGGACAGATCCTAATGCCCCACTCCCAGAGGGGTTTTTTTGGTATGAGTTGCGAACATGAACACTTTGTTGATCATGATGTCCTTAGGATTCAGCAGTTCGTATGAGAGTTGACCTTCTTTATTTTAACACAATTAGAAAGAAGTATTTGTTTGCTCTCCTTCCTCCACTGTGCTTTTTCTGTCTATTTCTAAACCTGAACTAATTTTGTGGCAAATTTTTGTTAAGATATGACTAAACTGTTTGAATGGTAGATGGTTTTGTTCTGAGCTATGCAGATACCATTTTCTACAAGCACCAATTAAAAAACAAACAACTTTCCTCATTTAAATGAAGACAAGTGGCCATATCATTCCACTTTGGAAAATGAGTATTAGAGATGAAGCAATTCTCTGAGCAAGTCAACACAAGTGAACATCTCAGAAACCTGGGACAGTGAATTACTGGACTTTTGCGAAAAAGAGAACTAGCACTGTATTTTGAGAAGCAGCTGACTATTACAGCCTCTTTCCAGACAGTCATCAAAGCCTCACAAGGAAGGATGAGGCGTTTGGTTTCATCACAATTAAAATGGTGTCTGACTGAATCTGCAGTTTGTCAGGCATTTCTCTTAGATTAAATACCACTTTAAACTTGCCCCTTGCTCTCACCCACACGTCAGTACAACTGCTTGTGCTACCATTCACCCAGTCAAGTAGGGAACTGATTGGAGCTAAATCAATTTTTTTAGGGCTGGTTATCTTTTTTAGCTTGATTCAGCTCCAGAATTGGCCATGTGCAGAGTGGCACTGACATAAGGTAGGGCATGATGCCTGTGGGCCTGAATAAGCTGTAAGGTTTGGCCAAAATAAGTTGTTCTTCCAGTTCAATCCTAAGCAAATGGAGAGGGAGGTTTGAAATCCAGGTCGCAGCATATAAGTTCTGCTGGGAAGCATTCAACTCACTTGCAAACAGGAGCATCTGAGGACTGTGATCTTTGCATGTTTTCTCCCAGTGGTGGTGAAGGGATGAGATACTGTCAATTTTATTTAAATGTGTTTTTCTTCTCTGTGAATAAACTTACATCTTTTCTTTAGACTCCTCCTCCCACAAGCCACTTTGCTTTCTTATCTCACATTAAAAGAATTACATATGCTTTGCATGTAAAAAAGTGACTTAAAAATGCAAAAAGGCTTGACGTTCCCTCCTCAAATCCTTTGGAGACTGAGTAATTTTCATGACTTCAAAAAGGTAAATATAGCACAACAGAGTGGAAATTAAGTTAAAAAAATCAATTTTATAAATATTCTTCCTCTGTACAATTTTTCACAGCCCCATCCCTCCCACACATTTTTATTCACATTTCATTTTTTTAATCCCCCCCAATTTATTTTTTAAATCATAAAATATATATTTTAAATCTGTTCATATTTTAAAATATTTACAGGAAAAGTTCCTTCTGTTTTGAGGTCATGAGGAGTCTGTACAAGGAGAGGGTGGAGGGGGATAGAGGTGAAAATAGCTTCGTTCTGTGGCAGGAGATGGAGGGCAACTTTCTTCTGCCGACATGTACTGACTGCGAGGTGTGGGTGGAGGGGGATAAGGGTCTGAGTCTGAATTTAGATCTATATAGTATTTGTTGGCCTTCCATCGACTAGTAGTATAGTCACTGTCACAAACATCTGTGCTGCATGGGGTTGTGGGTGGAACTATCCCTCGTATAAGGTATGGCCTGCAAAAAAAAAAAAGGGGGGGGGAAAGCACATGGATTAGTTGCAGTCTGGGGGAAAAAAAGAGAAAAAGAGAGAGAGAGATTGAAAATGAACAGCACTGTGTCTTCAGTCAAGATGCCTGCTCATTAATACTATGTGAGCCTTAATTCAGGTTTTCATAGGAACCCAACAAGAAGTACCTCAACTGTGTTAAATTTGAATGACACAACTACTCTCAGCCAGCAGTGCATTCTTCTAGCCCCTGACCAGCCAGACCACCATGACCTAGCCCAGTCACTAACAAATAGGTTGACTCATCAAAGTGTTTTAAGATAAGCTTGAGGAACTGAACAGAAAACATCAACCTTCTCTATACAGGATGCTAAGTGACTGTTACATAGCAATATAACCTTTATATGTTGCATTATTACTCAGCAACACTGTATTGAAAGGCGCTAAACACTGTTGTATCAAAATAAGAACACAAAGCCAATGTTTAACATCAAAACTGGCATAACCTCCATTTGAATGGTCATTTATTAAGAGAGGGAAAGTTTTTTTTAAACAAGGTAAAGTCTGAACAAGAACATTTTGCTTAAGATCCAGAACTAAAGGAGAGATCAATAGAAGATTTATCAAACCTTTTTATCTGAGCTGTACCTGTAAGATCTTGTGGTTGAAGGAATGTTTGAGGAATAAAACATCTCTGCATTATACAGGGAGCGATCGGTAGCTGGGGAAGGAGGTGGGTTCAAGATCTAGGAAGAATAGGAAACAGCAGTGCAAAACTTTGGGTTAATTGTACAACTCTACTTATTCTGAAAACATTTATGCCTTCACCCTATCATTCATCCTTATTTTAGTTTCCTCTCCTTGCTGCTTGTGTGGGTTAATGCATTTTTAAAGATCACAGAAGTTCATTATGAGACTTTATGCTGGTCTTAGGTACACTGTAGGCCTTCAAAGTTCTCACAGTACAGGGAATTTTCTTCCCTGACACATCCGTTATTACGCTGGAAGGCTGGGGTAAAGCTGGAAATTAGACCCAGTTTTGCTGAATCTCAGTGCACTTCCTTGGACGTAAGGACTGATATTTTCAGCAGATGCTAATTGAAAATAAAGTCTGTTCCATTCCCAGCCCCTAAACATACAGTCAATAGTAGGGTCAGGAGACCAAGTTTCTTTACTATAACTGATACAGCTCCATCTTCCCCTGAATACTTCCTTTTTATTGCCCTTCTGTAACCATATCATTCTGGCACAGTTCACAATGCAAAGAGCCTAAAAGCTAAAAAATAGTTATAGCATGCCCTATCCATGTGCATGTACATGGTTGCTGGTAACCCTCATACTAGGAAAAGTTTATTATGCTTCAGAACCCTTTCAGATTCCTTTAGGAAGCAGAACCCCTGAAATGGCCAGCAGGACACTGGCCTAAAAACAAGGCGAGTGCTTCATTCCTTCCAGTGTGGAAAATTACAGCTTTGCTGTTGCTAGTAGGGCCTTGCTACTGATGTACACAGCTTGTCCTGGGCATTCTGCCAAGCCATGACCTGCCACAGTGACCATGACTGTAAAATCACTGGAGTGGAGATAATTGTTTTGGTCTTCACTGTGCACCATTCTAGCAAAATGATTCCCCACCATTGAGTTGAACTCATCGTTACTAATACTGACAAGCCCTGCATCCAGATTCATGTGAGGGGGACAAGCTTGAATATCACCCATTGCCAGCTGTGAGGAATGATGAGTAATTGCCCCAAAAGTATCTTCCAGAAGTCCTCTTGCTTGGAGGAGCACTGCATGTTACTTCTGGATTCTCTCCTACTAGCACCCTGAGCTGCATCAACACCACTTCACATTCAGATTAAATACAACAGTGTCAGCCAGGATGCCTGTGGCCAGGTTCTCAGGTATATAAATTGGCATAACTCCACTGACATCAATTCTTTCCTAGTCTCCATTCACTGGACCATCTTTCAGTACCTCTAAGATATGTTAAACAAAACAAAACAAAAAAGCCAAGACAACTAGATGCTCAGATCTCTCTTTTTTTTTTTTTTTATTAACCTAAAGCTGGGTAATTAGTTACCAGGTAGAACTGAACAAAATATTTGGATTAAGCAGTAACTTTAATGTAACAAAGTCCTTGCAACAGCTTCCTTCTAAGAATCCAGCATGCCTTTCCTGAAGGCAAAGCTAATAGCATCCCTGCAGACCCTGGCTGACATAGCCTGGAGTGAATTCCCAGTAACAGATTAGCTTAGGCCAGAAGTCCAATGATCTTTTGGCCAACACAGATCCCATAGAATGGCACAGGCATATCAGCTCTTGGGCTTCTTTCCTCTTTCAAGATTTATTTAAGGGATTTTTATATAAATTCAGCTAAGCTTTTTCTGGTCATCCTTTTTTGTGTGGCACTGACACATCAATCAGGTACCAGCATGAAATTGTTCAGCATGTTACAGAGACACTGGTGAAGTATGAGACAAGCTAAATTAGGAGGGCAGCTGAGTTCCAAACATCTGGTAGCTGTGACTAGCTTCTTGATGGCCTCATTGAGAAGGTAATGCAAGAAATAAGTAACCAATTTTACCTTATCAATAGATAGGCTCACAAGCCTCTCTTTTCCATCTTTGTTGTTCTTAAAGGGGTGAGAGAGCACATTTGCCACTGGTGAAAACACTATCAGTCAAAATCCCTATACATTGCATAACAGTTTACATAGAAACACAAATGCACATATACCCACACAGTATGTGGGCTCCTGATTAAATACTACTGAAAAGTCACCTCAATAGCTAACAGGCTGATTCTGCAAGCTTGTGTGAACAGAAGAGTGAATGTATGTATTGCTCAGAAGCACTAAGGAAAAAACCTGTCATGACAAAATGCTGGCAAACAGTAACCTTTGTGTGTCTCTCCTACATATTCTTAAGAGAATAATTTCCATTCATACTATACATCTTTGAATTAATGAAACTTTGATATGGGGACAAAAATTCTGTCACTTCCAACAGTTAAAAGCCAGAAATGGAACTAAATTATAGCTGAAAAAACCCAAGCAAAGTAACCTCTGCTGGTACCAGTGTTTTCTCCCAGTGCACGCACTTAGTTTTCTCAATCAACAATCAACACTTTATCTAAACAGCAAGACAAGCTTGTTTCTCATGCATTTGCATTCCAGTCCTGTCATGTCTTGTTTGTCTTTTTATTCCATGTGTGCCTGCAGTGTTACCCAGTGCAAAATGCCATTGGGCCACTGCCATCAGAGTTTATAAAGAACAAAGGAGGTGAAATCTCCAAGGGAGTCAAGACAGAAGAACAGAAGTGCCCAGGAACAACCTCATGGACTACAACAAAGCCCTTTTATGAAGTTCAGTGGGTGTCAGACTGAGCCTGTATATCATAAACAGTAACACCCAAGAACAACCATTACTAACACTCTATTTAGCACAAATTTTCATCTTCCTTTTCTTCAGAAGTGGGAGATACCTAACTGACGGGTATATTTTCAAGACATACCTGTGGATAGAAAGTGGCTTTAGTGCTGGATGAGCTACTCGAAGAGGCTCCAGTAACATGGTTTCTGTCATATAAGGGGGCACCACTGCTTCCTCCCATGAGACTCATAGAGCTAATCATGGACTTTCCACAAGAGATGCCTGCAGTGAGACAGAGAGGAAAACAAAGTTAGGTAATTCACAATTTTATCTACCAATGTAAAACAGAAAACAAATCCACAGCTGAACAGTGTTTTATGTAAAAACTTCAGGATTACAAGGAACAACATATTTTGTAAAGAAAACATCTCGCCCCCAGACCACCTGTTGTCTCACTGACTGAACTCCTCACAGCCTGCTCTCACTCTCCAGAACAGTCGACCCAAATTTTTCACCCATATAGTTAACAAAGAAATTTTCCAATTAAACAAACTCAGGCATTTGCAAAAAAAGCATTATACATTGCCCAAGAAAAACAAGCTAAAGACCTCCAAAGTTTTCATTTCCATCCAAAGAAATTAAATTGCAAGCACGTGAACAGCAAAAAATAATTATTTTTATTGAAAAAATCACTGCTTAAACTGAAAATCAGCAGAGGCAAATGGAAGGAAACCTGGGTGACAGGAAAAGACAACGTTCTCCAATCTGTTTTACTCCAATATACACTTACATCAGACAATACATTTTCAGCCTCTTCCTGTCAAGACTATTCAGTGCTAATGGAAGAGTTTCGTTTGGGAGGTTTTCAGAAACTCTTCAGATGCAGGAAATGTTTATTACTCTATTTGTGATCATCATTCATGACCACTTATTATTTTTTGGAAATGCCATGGTATTAAGAACCTATGTCTTTTCTTTTGAATTAACATCAATGGTACTATTTTCAGCTGTTGTAACTTGCCACAGCAATTTGGATTAGAAAAAAATGACAAATACGAATGAGAACCAGAATGACAGCTTAGTTTAGCACCTACAAAGGTACAGACGAACACCACTGATACTTGCTTTAATTAAAAGCACTTTAGTGTGAAGTCCAATTTAAAACACCACTGCAAAGATTTCACCTGCAATGATTTCCTCCTCAAATTTTATTTCCTACCACAAAAACCTCTTGATAACCATAAAAACATAATTTAAGCAGGAACAGCTGACCATAGTCATTGAAGTGTGAGAAAGGCTAAACCTAATTTGTATTTGGCTATCTTCAAAGCCATGACTGAAGAAAACAACAATTAGCACATCTCAAAAACATGTTTAATATGAAGAAGTGCCACATCCTTTCATTTGTTTTTAAGCTGATCATCTATCTGATTTTCAGCTGACATGAAAAGCAGACTCCAAGCACTCTGAAGTATGGATTTCTTGTATTCTGACCCTGTCTCTCAGGTTTAGAGGCGAACATTTACTTTCCAGCCTCACGAACAATATGAAGGGATATTCTTTCTTCTCAGGACTCTGCAGTTAAGAATTTGCTATTTCCTCTATGAAAAGTATATTTTACATTTGTAAAATAATTTGAGGTACATAATTTAAGTGTTTACTTTGATGTCTATATGAGGTTTCTGGGTTCTTATTTATTAGCTGAATAACCTGAGCTTTTATATATACTTCAACTCCTCCTTCGATCTCAGCATCGTAGCTGCATGCACTTCTCCAAATGGATGCTTTGAGTCCTGTGTGAGGTAGAGAAGCTTTGCTGTTTTACAGGTGAAGGTCTGAGACACAGAGAGAATAAATACTGTGTCCAGAAGCGAACGGGAAAGCTGCCTCAGAGATGGGCTAAACCAAAGGGGATGTTCTCATTAGATTTCAGGCAATGAGCAGCCAGACTACAAAACCATACCCATACTACTTGTGTTCTTCCACATTTGCTGTTGTAACTTTGGGGACGGAGGTTTATCCCCTGCTTTTTTTGGTTTAACCTAAGCTACTTCACTTCTTTCCTCTGCTTCTTTCCACTATGGAATAACTTACCCGTCCTGAGCAGACAGGACAAAAATGTGTAGAGACCTCTGATGGACAGGACAGAAACAAGGACATCTGAGTACAAGACACAAAGAAGAACTCAACAGAGCTCTCACTTAGAACGCTGAATGGCACATGCATTCTTGGCTTCCAATATGGAAGTGGTTCACTACCTTTCATAGTGTTTTGCAGGCCTTACATAAGAAGTACTGTGCAAAACCCAGGCTTTATTACATACACCAGAATGAACTATTTAAAGAGGATATTTTCACTGTCAAAATACTGTAGATCTTCTGTCAAATAGAGAGATGCCTGTGCAGATGCAGCCTAGCGTGAAAATTGCTTTTGAAAATCTGGCAAGATGGCTAATGAAACGCGTCTAATAGTTTTTGCATATCTGATCAAATGACAGATTCGTAACAAAACCACTGAACAGATCAACAACATCTAATTTCTGCTCTTTGAAAACTCTGTATCTAGCACTCTTAATAACCTGTAAAGCTCCAAATTCAGACAATGTAATGGTACTAATTAGGTGCAAGGTCCTTACCATCCTTACCAGTAAAAGTGCCATGTTGAGAACTTCCTGGAGCAATAAAATTAAGAGGGACGTGAGGGGTGCCACTGACATACTCATGTGGAAAAGGACTATTGGGCCCGGCATAGCGCTGACACACGACTCGCTGGCAAACAAAGTACATTCCTCCCATGACAAAAAGTGACAGTATTATACCAATGACAGGACCAATGGCACTACTGTGTGGCTGTGACTCATCTGAAGCTGGCTTTGTTTTTTCTGGAAAGAGAGGAGAAAAAAAACCAAGGAGGTCATTAAATGTGGGGCATTATATATGTTGCTGTCCTGGAGTTCATGCAGCAAATCAGTCAGCTCAGTGTCATTCACACAGTGTCTTTGAAAGTACCTGCATCAAACTCGGGCACCTATAACTCCATGTATTCTGATTCAATGCACAAGACTTCATGCCTCCTCTTCGCCTTCATGTACATAAAGCAGTATTAGCAAGGTACTCTCTCTCTAGCAATTCATCTCATAACAGGATTACTTATCATGTTGATATAATGACAGCCTAGAAAGTTTCTTTTTCTTCCCCCCCCCAAAGTCTACAGGTTAACAATATAGGACACTTATAAACACAGAGTTCTTCATCAGAGAGGAATCTGCTCTCTCAAAAACCATTTGGGCTAGCAGTAACATTAAAAAATTAAAAGATTTTACCAGTAGGGAAGCTACCGTAAGTATTAAGCAAGTGGATGTCTTCCTAGGTAATACAGGCCTCTAAAATAGAATACTTTTCCTTCCCAAAATATGACTTGCTTTCTAAAAAAACACCTTAGAAATTGGAAGGAAAACACAACCCAGAATATCTCAAATACTTTCTACTTCTTACTTCTTTTTTTCCTATATAGCCCAATGTTAAATAATAAAAAGTGCTGCAGTATTTGAGATGAACTACATATCATATCTCCCCCTGATTATGGGTAACACATTCAAAATTCCTGCCAAACAGACCTGACATCCCTATGTTTGTTGCATATGTGAGATTCTTCAGTGAAAACAATTTTTTCTACATGATTCACACAGTATTTATTATTTTAATTTTTACATATACAAATATATATATAAAAATAAAGTGAAAAAATAAAAATAAACTTGGACAAAGCCTATCAATTTTACATCTTCAGATGGAATTATAGACCCCTTTCCCCCTTAATGAAGTTGTAAGAAGTGAAATTGTTCATCTAAGATTTAAGCCTTCACTTAATAAAATTTTTCTTCAGTGGTCCTGGTTTCTTTCCCTTCAGTGGAAGGGAATGCAAACCAACTGAAATTTGGGAAGGAAGATAAAGGAAATACAAAGATCTACCAATAAACTCTTAACGGCTCAGCATCAAGAATTCATTTCTGTCTTAAAGTCTTTCACACTTGTTAGTGCATGATGGCTTTTATATCAGCTAAGGCCCTAACTTTCAAATAGCCAGAAGGGTTCAGATATGAGACCAGAAAAAAGCAAAGCCAAAATTAAAACATGTTCCCAAATTAGTTATTTTAAAACACACAATTCTCATTTTGGTTAAACTTATCTTCTTTTGAATGCAAGATCCTTATCTAGAAAGTAGCAATCATTTTTATTCCCTACTTGAGTTCCTTCCCTCAGTCAAGCAAGAAACCACAGTATGATCTGTTCCACAAAAAGTCCCCAGAGGAGACAGTCTTATGTCTACATAAAGACACATTTAAATAATTTAAGAACTAATTGCAGGACTGGACTCAAAGTGCAAACAGGAACCAGCTGCATTAACTTGGCAGCATAAAAGTTTTCCAAGTGCACAAAGAAAATAAACTAAAAAAGAAAAAAAAAAAAGGAAGAAGTGGATTTACATTATCCAGGGAATCAGGGAAACTGGGTGAGAGCTGAAGATATGAGAGAAGCATAAGAAGTATGTTCAGTCTGAAATGTTCAACAGGAGGGCTAAACATTTTTTGTCACCATTCTTTTAGGCTTTACTTCTAGTTACTACTTGGGATCCTTTCACCACTCTTGCTCATGAAATACACTTTTCTTTGGTGTACCCACCATAAGGATGGAAGGAAGAAACAAGGTTACTCTGACCAGACCTGGTGACCCCTCTCATCCCAGCAGTGGCACAGCTTCTGGCAACTGGTGTTCCAAAACCTGACAAGACTCTAAGATATTAAAACCCTCGCAATTAGCCAAGGTCCTATATGACGTGACTATATTTAGCAGCCAAGTACAACTGTGAGGGTATTTGGCCAAGATTCACTGGGCTTCCCTGAAAGGATATTACTGTGCAAAGACTGGGGCTCTGCATAAGGAGGTAGAACATTACACCTGAACACAGAACTTGAATCTCAAAGAAAGATATCTCACCACACATAAGCTCATCAGAACCGTCAATGCAATCTGAAAAGGAGTCACACTGTTGCTTCAGGAGGATGCACTGGCCGCTTGCACATTGGAACTGATTGGGTAGACAAAGTGCTGCACAGAAAGAAAGAAAAGAGTAAGTACTACTTGCATGGGAGCATTTGGGCATTTTAAGAAAACCAAAAGAAGTAAGACATGAAGCCACAGTGCATTTTATATTATGACCAGGTAGGGACCAGAACACTTGCTTTGCTGCTGTGGGTAAAATGGAAGTCTGCATTTCTCTGATTCTTCCTTCTTGTTGTTATACAGGCTACTCAGTAGGGTTAAAATAAAATTCTGATTGCAGTAACTCCCCATCCTTTGTCAAATCAGTCCTGTTGGGGCAAAACTGGCATCAGCAAGAATCTCTTACAATAACTAACAAAGTGTAACTGATCACCTGACATGTTAACAAAATGTGGTAACTCAGCTTATTATAAAATGTTATATAGTCTATACTATCTTATGTAGCCCTGCATAACATAACCTTGCTAAATAACTGTTAAATTTCTTACCTATAGTCAGAGCCTCTGTTTCAGCAAAAAGGACTTGTTAATTATCTTTGGAATCTCTGTCAAGTCAAAGCATATTACATGACCATTAAAGAGACCGTCTTACAAGGGCAATAACCATCAATCCCGGTAGGTTCACAGTATAGGTTATTCAATGCAAAAAGAAGAAAAGAGTCTTTTCTTCTGGAGAAGATCCATATTCATGTTTTGGATCATAGCATTGGTGCTGGTGTGAAGTGGACCTCTTGAATAGCCATACGTACTTTGCCATGATCCAGTTTGCAGAGCAGTTCTTGTGTAAGAGAACAAAACTACCTATGGAGAAAAAAAACTTAGCTAGAAGCTCCAAATGCATCAGCTCCTGATTTGGACTGTAATGCCCCCAGCAAGTTGGATGCAACTTCACAAGGTCCTACAATGCATACAAAACACACAAATGTTGATAGAAGGCTCTAAAAGCATCTGGAGCTCTCACCACATCACTTAGGTTCTTGCACTATGAGAAGGGCCACGTTCTGTGTGCACCTTCCTATTTGCCAATGACTGCCAGCCCTCTACTTATTCTTGCAACTGTCTGCTGCTCCTTTGTTTTCCATCAAGACTTCTGTCTTAATATCCTTTCCCTTCTTACATGCTGCATCTTCTGTTGCTGTTCTGTCTTGTTGGACTCCTTCTTTCTTCTTGATTCAGCAATGGACAACTTTAAGCATTGAACCTCTGTTGTACAGGAGATGAAGTTTTTTCAGTGGCATGGTAATGCAGTTGCAATATCAAGAGACTGTTAACCTTGTGACTTCCACTGGGTATGAGAGGACCAGCTAGCAGTGCCACAATAAACTAAAGAAGATGAAAGCCACAGTAGTCTTGAAGATGTGGGACAAGAACCATGAATATATCCAGGGACATTTCTTTGGCCACTTCCGGTCATAGTCTGCAACCCCTGTGCCAATTCTTCAGATTCTACTCCCAAAAAGCATGCCTTGGGAAACCAGGGGACAGGAGAAGCAGCTTCTGATAGAATTAAAGCATTGAACTCAGACCTATTGCAAGGCAGTGATTATCACTGCTCTGACTGGAAGGGAATTCCTCTGATGCATGAGGATAGTAGAAAAGTTCTGTTAAGCCCAGTTAGCATCACCACCTTACTAAACCTCATATAAAGAACAAGAATGTACTACATGCCCCCTTCCCTTTCCCAAACACAGTGGGTTATAGGCTGACGCATGCTAAGGGATGAGAAAAGCCTATCAGTTTTATTTTCCTTAGGACCCCACTCAGGCTTTGGCCTGTAAAGATTCCTGAGGACTACAGAGGCTATGTTTGCCACATCTCCCTCATCTAACCCTGGACATGGAGTATGTTCATAGCCCTTCTAGGGAAGCGTCAGTCAGCATCCTGGACAAAAGTCTAGTCTTGGGTGGCCCAAGCACTTGGAGAGGACTAGGCATACAACTACGGAGCACTTAACTGCTAAAGAAACATGCCTTCAACTACTCTAGACCAGATGGTAAGGCTCATCTTTGCCCTCAAAGGGGCTTTGCAGGGCAAGGCAGTCACCTACAGTTCATACAGTGCCAGGAACATTGGCAGTAAGTTTGCTTAGCAGTGCCCACCATTTCACAGGGAGATGGCCAAATGCACATTCCACTTTGACTGTGCCTGGGTAATGGCACCATTACACTGCATATGGGCTACACGGTGGACAAAGCAGAGCCTCTTAATGAAGCAATACAGGTACTAAGTACCACCTCTCACAAGAAAGACAGGAAATTGGACACGGCTGATCCTCCTCTTGTTTGCAAAGTAGGTACTGGTGTTCTGGGGTCCAGGCTCAGATTTACAGAAGACATTGCAAACCCACAAAATTGATCATTAAAATATACACAAAAATCTACCCTGCTGGCCCAGTGGCAATGCTTATCCACTGAGTGGGTAGAGCCAAGGGTCCTGAGGCTTCACAGGGCAAGAGCTACTGAATAGTCTCCTGAAATTTTGTACAGCAATAAGAAGCCTTGGTGCCAGCACATAGTCAAGTGTCTGTTTCAGCTATGCTTTGATACTAGATACAGAATATGCAAGTTTTCCCATCAACGAAAGGATGATGCAAATGTACCCATCCATGCTCTCTCTTGGACCCAGATCCTATGGCTGATTACATACAAAGCAGCTGCAGCCGCAGGAGTTCCTTGCATCTCATTCCACAGATTTCTCATAGGCAGGAACATCCAGGATTATAAGCATCAGCTTGCTAAGAGTGAACTCTCAGAACAGCCAATTCAGCCACAAGATTAAGTCCATTTCTTCCTCCCTGTGGCACCTTGCAGTGACTGCTGTCCGAAGGTGGACACCGTGGAAAGAGCGCAAGCCAAAGTGGTCATTATGCAGGAAAAAACCCCATGTGATAAGTTCTGCCAGTTTCTTTCCTGTTTTCATTCTGAATATGGATTAAAGATACTCTCCCCAACCTCCCTCATATCTATAGTTACATGGTCAGCAATTTATGTAGCTACAGAGAAGTTTAATTTGAGCAACAGATTAAGAAAGAGGGAAAGAAAAACAGAATCAGTGGATACCTTAGTTGGGCTTATGGTTAAAGCTGTTCTTCCAAACTAAAAAAATCTCTCTCTCTCTTATACACACACACACACACGTATGTCAAGAACAGTTAAGAGTCCCAGATGGATAATTATATTAGAAACATGAGTTCAGGAAAATTAATCTTACTATCACAATCTGCTTCGTCGGATTTATCTTGGCAGTCAATTTCTCCATTACAGCGCAAGTGTGCATCAATACATTGTCCTTTCTCACACTGGAACTGGGCTGCAGAGCATATGGGGCAACTATCTTCATCACTCTGGTCATCACACTCTGGAAATCCATCACACCGCCATGCCATTGGAATACAGTCAATCTCTCCAGTTGCACAGGTAAACTGGTCTGGGGAACAAGTTGGAGGTTCTGGAGAAAGAGAAAACAAATCACATTTATATATTCAATATTAACCCTTACAACAGAGGAAAAATGAGATGGACTGTTTCAAGAAAAACACACTTATGCCTGGACTGAAGTTCTTCCGTGACAATATTAAGATTCCAGCAAAGAGGAAAACATGATTTGGCACAGGGAATGAAATTTTGCCAACATCGTAACAAAAACTGGATGCATGCTGATTGAAGAAGCTTGCTCTAGCAGGCCAGCACTGAGCTAAGGTCAGGAACTACAAATACTTACTTTGTCTCTAACAGCCACCTTTTGGAAGACACTGTCATACACATAAATTCAAATGAATACTCAATTTCTGATTGCAAACCACATTCTACACAAATTCTAATCCCTGAAATTATATTAGCCTGGAACAATTCTTCATAAAAAAACCTGGCACATTGGGTTAACTGGCAATGAATACACCTAAAACATGTAACATCTGCTTCTGCTTTTTCCAGCGGTTTCTCCACAAACAAATTGCCAAGTCGGATATGAATGGAGAAAAAATATTTGTAAAGGTCTGCTAGACATTAAGCTAAGTCCTCTTGCTGGAAAGTGGAGGTTCAGAGAGTAGTCTGAGGAGCACTGTAGGCCTGCTCTGATCTTACATTCTTTCACTATGGTCAGAGACAGAACCCTGGACCTTGTGCGCAGCCAGTTTTATGTTTGTTGGACCTAAGAAAGCTGCAACTTCCTTCAAATTTGACTTTTCATGGACCCCAAGATCCTGCCATCAATCCATTCCACATCCATACCATTCCTCAAGTTGCAATCACACACTGACAGCATTAAGCAGCACCTACAACCTCCTGTACAGATGCAACAATTATGCTGTAATAAGGCATTCATAGTTGCTTTCTTCAGAATGTCAAAAGACAAAGACAATCTAGATCAACAACCTGTGGCAAAAAATGCTCCTAATTCTTACATACAGCAAACTAACACACACTTTCTCACCATTAGTATCAATGAAAGAAACAGGCAACGAGTAAGTCCCTTCAGTTGTTAGCAGTAGCAGATAGTTATGTCCAAAATGAGGGGGCCATCGCAAAACACCTGCAGAAAATGGGTACTTTTCCACTGATTTAGAAAGTTGCTCGGTCAAATCCCTGTGATATAATTAAATCAGTTAACAGAGGCAGTCACTACTCCCTACAGCTGCTGTTGCCAGCTAATGCTCTAAGTAGATATTTTACAGCTTGGATTAACAGAGTACTACATCATACCCTGTTTATGACAACAATGTTGAGCAAGCTGGAGGTGTGCTCTGACACTGGATGATAACACTCCTCTGGAAACCCAATGAGCTTTTATTAACATTGAGGCTCAGGAATGGACATTACAAAGAACCCAGCATAAGGAAAGCTTCCCAGTTATAATGAGTATTTTTCTCCTGAGGGTGGTGTTACAGATCCTAGAGCTATGCAAGTACATGCAAGCCATTTTTGAAGTGCTGCTGTCCTTCCTTCATTAAGGAATGTTCAAGAATGAGACTCAAGTATAATCAAGAGCTTGAAAAACAAAATGCAAATAAAAATCCAAATGCATTTAATGTTTGAAAATGTAATGATCTTTAAGTTTCTGATTTATGATTATTTGGTGTAGCAATATGAGAATTACAAATGTAGCCTGTGACCTCACAGCTGTAGGTAAGATAAAGATGCCAGATACACACATTAAGATAATTCTTGAATTAAATTTTGACCTGAGTGTGTTGTTTAGATAATTCAACAGACAGATTACTATGTCTGCATTTAGAGCCACATTTAATGTTGCATTATGGTTGCACTTGGCTGGCACAAGCTTGCATTTAAAAACTTGTCAAGAGCATTCATAGGGGTACATGGAAAAATGTCCTCCAGCCAAAATAGCTATTAATCTATTTTGAAATACTGGCTATTGGCTGCTACTACGGCACACAAGATAGGTTAAAAAGTTGTTGCAGGCTTAGCGAAGGATTAGAATTAAAAAAACAGACACTAAAATGGAGGTCCCTTAATTTTTAGATTTATAGCTGAAGATAACAAAGGAGTGGGATGTCTTGTTGGCCATGTTGTGCAACAACAGTACAGCAAGAAATATAAGTAGATTGATTTTTTTCCCCTCCTGCAGATGTAACCACCTCTACTCTAAAACCACATAGCATGTTGTGGTCATGGGAAAGAAAACAGTTTATAATGGAAATGACTGTCCCATGGGAGGTCAGAGTTCAGCCAGAAAATGAAATCCACAGCAAAAGGAATACATAAAAAGAAGTCAAGAGATCCAAGAGGGCCAAACTATTTAAGATATGATGCCTCCCCAAAAGAAACGATTTTTTATTTTGTTTTGTTTTGTTTTTAATCCCATCTGCAAATGCAATGTAACAAATTTCAAAAACCTTGGGACTGTGAAAGGGAGGTCTACATTTCATTACTAGACAGTACAGTGTTTCGTGTTATGAGGACAAATTCATTTGAAAAACTGGAGTATCACAGTGTGGAAATAGTATGCACAATTTCTGCTGCTAGGTTTACAGGTTGATGCAACATCTTCTTATATGCATTTGTTTAAAGCACAAACCTGTCACATCATACAATTATAAAAATCTCAGTAGAAGATGCAGGTATTTAAGGTCAAACAAGAATATTCTGCTCAGAGTGAAAAGTCACATATGTCCAAAAACTGAAGCAGAAAACAGCTGGTAGAAGAATCAAGGGTCAGTTTAACACATGATACAACAAACCATGTGTCGGAAAACGTTATGTGTAAATCTGCATTTTGGACTGGAATGCAACCTCAACCTCCATCTTTTTTTTATGTAAACTACTTAGCAGTACTGTTAAACGTAACTCACCTCCACATGTTAAGAGGTTCTGTAGAAGCACAAGGTGCTCGGGGCATGAACATCTTGGAGTCCCATCCCCTTTGGCAATGCAGATGTGTGAACACCCACCATTGTCACGGGAACATGGATGCACAGCTGGAGAAACACACAGAAAAGAATATTAGACAGCATAAAAGAAATCATAACTACTCTCTAGGGCAAACTCACAGAACCTCTCACAAACCAATTCTGTCTGAGTAACCAAGATTTCACGACAAATTAATAGGAAAATAAATGTAGGCTTTTTCAGTTCAGTGCTCAAAAGCTCCTTTACTACTTCACGAGGACTACATTTCTCCCAGTCACAGTGATATGGAGACCTTTAAAAGACTTCTAGAAAGAACTTGGGAGCTCAGGTGAAGAGGAATGAGAAGGCAGATTTGAGAAGATCGCATTTACAGTGTACCTAGACATCCTACCTGGATTTTCAGGGTAGCCAGGCATCAGGAATTAACATATGTCACTCCAGAATGCCAATCCCCAAATTCCTCCTTTAATTTAATAAAAAGCTCTTTAATTAAAGAGCTCTTAATATCTAGCCCCTCCACTTCCCTGTTACTCACAAAAATGCAATATATGCAGACACGGTCAATTTTTTTTTTTTTTTAAGATAGAAAGCTATATGGTTGTATTCCCAAAACCGTTACCCAGAAGCACTGAGTACCCGAGGGCTCCTAATAGAATCACTCTAAATGAACGTTAGGTGGATAAGAAACAGGCACAGAGAAGTGAGGTCACTGTCTGAGGACCCCAGCACAACAGAGTCAGAAAAGACCCAGTCTCCTGCCTGCTTATTTGAGCTGACAGCTGAGCATCTGCTAGAGTAATCTGTGGGGCTACAGCCTGTGTTATTTGTGATGCTGCTGAACAATGCATTCTTTACTACTCGTAAGTAATTTCCATAGGGAAGAAACAGTATAGATATCATAATTTCTGTGCTAAAGTTGTTTTCCATCTGTTCAGGTTTCTCAGCAATCTGCTTTCACCTTTAAAGAATTCATTAATATAATACAGTGTTGGAGACGCTAATGTTTGACGCATGGGTTGCTAGCAGAAAAAGTGCATGCATGTATACTTGTGCCAGAAAGCACATATGTGCATATATACTCTTACTCCCGTGTTGTAACAGAAGTCATCTATGCAGGACAGTTTTCAGATGCAAAAGGCAATTCCTTTCAGTGTGACTTACAAGAAACAGCACTCTTGCCATAAAAAAATAAACATTTTTTAAAAACACATGGGATATAAAGTAATCTTTTTTTGTAACAGTGCCGAGAATTAAAGAAAAAATTCTTTTTGCATCATTCAGTATGAATTGAAACACACTAAAAATAAGAGAAATAGCACAGAAGAAAAAAAGCTGGTTATTGTGAAAGAAAAAAGAACATCTGGATGAGGATTAGCAGATAGAATCTACTACAGTTTAAATAATTATGCTACCTTATACTTGTAACAGCTTACCCACATAGGCAAATTTGAAAATACTTTCAGCTATCACAGAAACTAATGTACATGGCACAGAGGATTGTGAAGTGGAATAATTTCTTCTGAAAATTAAAGCATTATACACAAATGTAAGCTCCCTATATAAGATGACTCATCACAGGCAACAAAGTTTAAAGAGGCTACTGTCATTAGCCCTCTGTTTCCCACATATTGTTTGTGCTTTTATATTATCTTTTATATTCCTGTTAAGCCAGAGGAGCTGTAGGTTGTCACTTTGAGGAGTTCTGTAAGAGGTTTCTGCGCTCTCCCCAGACCACAGGAACTTCGAACACCAATCCAGAAAAATAAGGTCTTGCATGCATGATCCCTTTCAGAAGGGAGCACCTAAAATGGCTCCAGCTCCGACGGGAGAGAAGTTTCACATCCATAATAATTCACTGTAGGAGCTTCCTGTCCATTCTCCCTCCCTCACTAGAGGCTTTTATATCATTGATTGTGCTGAGTCAAACCAGTCATGTTTTACATCAGGGTCTGAAACCACTTGAGAAAATGCAAGTACAATCCTTTTCTTTCTTTTAAAAAGTTTTTCCAAGTATTATTACTTAAAGAATTAACAACCATAAGTCACTTTTAGAATGAGTTCAATATCATGTGAGCTTCTACAAAGCAGGTAACTAAGTGCCATGAAATCACATATTCTAGCTATGCAGAAATACTCCTCTGGACAAGAACAAGGAACTTTTTTCTCTTAGTCTAGGATCCTGACTGGCCAAGTTGAAAGCACTCCATGGCTTACTTGAAGCCCACTGGGCAAAGTTATTACAATATTCAGCTGGATGAGAACTTTGAGAGACAGTAACCAAGAGTGAAAGACAGCAGATATTGAAATAAACTCACAGAATTCCTCCATATCAAGCTCTTCCACAGCATGAATGCCTGTTAGGTGAGCAATTCGGCCTTGAATTCTAGTCCTTTTGTACCCGTTCATTTTCTCCACTCTCTCAATCATCTGCTGCTGACGATCAATCCAGTACAAGTGATTCCCCAGCACAGTGAGTCCCATCGGCTGAAGGATGTTGGAGTCCTCCAGGGTCACACGGTTAGCACCTGAGATCAACAAAAAGAAAGGCTAGTTTTATACCAGTCACCTTTTAACTCCTTTCTTAAAAAAAAAAAACAACAAAAACCAAAGCACACCAAACCAAACCCTGAAAATAGTTAGCTGTAAGGCCACTGGCTTAATTTGGCTATGCAGACCAAGGCTCTGCTTGCTCAGCCTCATCTCAGGTAAATGCAACCACTCGCGATGACATGAGGGCAAACATACAATATGAAACACAGCTCATCCTTGCATACACTGGCTGGTCAGCCAGCCATGATCAGCCTCATGTTGGCATGCTCTGTTACGTGTAATTGTGTACAGTGCCTAAAAGCCTATGTCACCAATACAGACTCAGCTTATGGGCCAAATTTTTTACAATACATTCACACACTGAGCAGTACACTTTGTTGGAATCTACAAGCAACACTGAAATACAACCAATTAGCTTCACTGCCCTTACTCAAATCAAACACATTCATCATGAAAAGCAAGAGGCAAGTACACAAACCCTGTCATATGCTATATCACAACCTCAGGAATATGACAAAATTATTCACAAAAGAAATGCTCATATTCCAACAGCCACACTTCTTTCTTCACCTTCCCTTTTTTCTTTAGTAAGCAACCAGAAAACCCAAACTCCACGTAACTCAGTAGGCTCTTAAAAACCAACATTCTCAAATGGTCAGGTTTTCTGGTCTACAGAAATGTGCAAAAATCTGCTCTCAGCCAAGGTGTAAAAATCAGGTTAAGTAAAAATGCATTTATGACTGCTTTAACTTCAACTGTTTGCAGTGTTCTACTGCATGCTGCCCTACACTTAGTGGCATTTAATTGTTGCTTTTGTTATTCTTGTCTAGGGTGAACAAGAGATTACAAATTCCTCTATTAATTCACAGAAACCATTTTAAGGCTGTGTATGCCTATGTATACTGGATATATTTGTTTTAAAAAATGAAGAATCAAAACAAAATCATAACTTGGTGCTTTTCTTGCTCTCGTATTTCATTTTGGAATAAAGCCCATAGAATCATAGAATAGTTTGGGTTGGAAGGGACTTTCAAAGATCACCCAGTTCAACCCCTCTGCAATGAGCAGGGACATCTTCAACTAGATCACATTGCACAAAACCCTGTCCAACCTGACCTTGAATGTTGCCAGGGATGGGGCATCTACCACTTCTCTGGACAACCTGTGCAGAGGTTTTCACCACCCTCATTGTGAAAAATTTCTTCCTTATATCTAGCCTGAATCTACCCTCTTTTAGATTAAAACCATTACCCCCTGTCCTATTGCTACAGACTCTGCTAAAAAGTCTGTCCCCATCTTTCTTATAAGCCCCGCTTCAAGTATTGGAAGGCTGCAATAAGGTCTCCCTGGACCCTTCTCTTCTCCAGGCTGAACAACACCAGCTTTCTCAGCCTGTCCTCTCACAGGAGGTGCTCCATCCCTCTGATCATCCTTGTGGCCTTCCTCTGGACTCACTCCAACAGGTCCCTGTCTTTCCTGTGCTGAGGGCTCCAGAGCTGGATGCAGGACTCCAGGTGCGGCCTCCCCAGAGTGGAGTAGAGGGGCAGAATCACCTCCATCGACCTTCAGGCCATGCTTCTTTTGATGTGGCCCAGGTTATGGTTGTCCTTCTGGGCTGCAAATGCACATTGCCGGCT